GCAAAAGAAAGAACATCAATGCAAAAATAAATTCAAATAGATAAATGATAAATAAAGCAAGAAGCAAAAAGGAAAAATGAAGTAAAACGTAGAAGAAACATCAATGCAAAAAAGAAATGAAAATAAATAAAAATAAATATATAAAGAAATAGACATTAAATTAAGACATGAAAACAAATAAAGATAAATAAATATAATAAAGCGAGAAGAGAAAAAGGAAAGAAAACGCAGAAAGAACATCAATGCAAAAATAAATGAAAATAGATAAAAATAGATGGATAATAATAAATAAAGCGAGAAACAAAAAAGATAAAAAAACAAAGAAACGCAGAAGGAAAATCAATGCACAAAGAAACGAAAATAAATGAAAACAAATAAAAATAAATAAATGATAATTAAAGCGAAATAAATAAATAAATGAATAAATGAAAATAATTAAAGGTTCTCGCTTTATTTATTATTTGCAGAAAGCAAAGAAAACGCGGAAGGAACATTAACGAACAAAAACAAAAACAAAAACAATAAAGAAATTGAAAACTAAATAACACAACGAAAGCATAAATTACGTAATAATTCGAGGATAAAAGACAAAAACAAATACTACAATAATAATACACACACACACACACACAAACAGACATTCGAGAGTAAAAGAAAAAACAAAAAATACAATAATAATACACACACACACATAAACATACATACGTACATAGATGTCTAAAAATGGAAAATAAAATGGATGATAGTAGAAAAAAGTGAAAAAATAAGGAAAAGATCAGGGAAATTTAGAAAAAGAGAAAAATAGAAATACGATATGAAAAAATCGAAAAGGAAGAGGAATAAAAGGCAAAGAAATACAGTAATAATATCATGATAATAATAAAAAGTAATATCATGATTAACTGGATAAAGAGATGAATAGATAAAAGCGACTCTTTCTCTTTGCTTCTCTCTCTCTTTCTCCTTCCCCTCTCCTCTCTCTCTCTCTCTCTCTCTCTCTCTCTCTCTCTCTCTCCCATTCTCTCTCTCTCTCCTTCTCTCTCTCTCTCTTTCTCTTTGCTTCTCTCTCTCTCTCTCTCCTTCCCCCCTCCTCTCTCTCTCTCTCTCTCTCTCTCTCTCTCTCTCTCTCTCTCTCTCTCTCTCTCTCTCTCTCTCTCTCTGTCCTTCTCTCTCTCTCTCTTTCTCTTTGCTTCTCTCTCTCTCTCTCCTTCCGCCCTCCTCTCTCTCTCTCTCTCTCTCTCTCTCTCTCCTCTCTCTCTCTCTCTCTCTCTCTCTCTCTCTCTCTCTCTCTCTCTCTCTCTCTCTCTCTCTCTCTACCTCTCTCTCTCTCTGTCCTTCTCTCTCTCTCTCTTTCTCTTTGCTTCTCTCTCTCTCTCTCCTTCCGCCCTCCTCTCTCTCTCTCTCTCTCTCTCTCTCTCTCTACCTCTCTCTCTCTCTGTCCTTCTCTCTCTCTCTCTTTCTCTTTGCTTCTCTCTCTCTCTCTCTCCTTCCCCCCTCCTCTCTCTCTCTCTCTCTCTCTCTCTCTCTCTCTCTCTCTCTCTCTCTCTGTCCTTCTCTCTCTCTCTCTTTCTCTTTGCTTCTCTCTCTCTCTCTCCTTCCGCCCTCCTCTCCTCTCTCTCTCTCTCTCTCTCTCTCTCTCTCTCTCTCTCTACCTCTCTCTCTCTCTGTCCTTCTCTCTCTCTCTCTTTCTCTTTGCTTCTCTCTCTCTCTCTCTCCTTCCCCCCTCCCCCCTCCTCTCTCTCTTTCTCTTTGCTTCTCTCTCTCTCTCTCTCTCTCTCTCTCTCTCTCTCTCTCTCTCTCTCTCTCTCTCTCTCTCTTATTATTATTATTATCAGTAGTAGTAGTAGTATCATTATCACATTTATTATCATTATTATTGTTAATAACAGGAATAACCGTAATGATAATAACAAGGATAATGCCAATGATTATCGTCATTGATAATGATAATACAAATGATAATAATGATAATGATAATGATGATAACAATAATAGTAGTAATGATAATATGAATAGTGATGGTAAAGATAATGAATATGATAGTGATGATTAGAATTACAAAATAGTAATAATGATAATATTTGATGATAATAATAGCAATTATAGTAATGATGATGATGACACGATAATATTTATAAATCTAATGGTAATAATAGTAATGATAAATATGATAATATCAATAAGGAGGACATTACTAATGATATCATTATTAATGATGATAATCATAACAGGAATCATAATAATGGTAATCGTAATAATGATAATAGTAATAATGAACGCAGGTCAGTAAGATTGCTAGACGAGATCGCTACCGCTGCACCACACAGCACACAGAAATAATAATAACAATAGTAATAATGATAATAATAATAATGATAATGATAATAATAATAATAATAATAATAGTAATGATAATAACAATAATAATGATAATAATAATGATAATATAATAATAATAATAATAATAATAATAATAATGATGATAATAAGATAATAAGATAATAATGAAAATGATAACAATATTAATAATGATAACGATAATTATGAAGATAATGATAATATAATAATAATAATAATAATAATAATAATAATGATGATAATAATAATAATAATAAAGATGATAATAATGAAAATAATAACAATAATGATAATGATAACGATAATTATGACAATAATGATAATAATAATAATAATATTAATGACAAAAAGATAAAATGATAAAAATGGATGATAATTTTCGAGTGTAGCAAAGGACTAATTAATGGTGATGATGATAATGATGGTGACGGTAATGGTGACTGCGATGGCGGTGGTGGTAATGAGGATGATGGTGATAGTGAAGATAATGATGATGATGACGATTATGTTAACGATATCGATGATAATGATAGTAATGATGACGATGAGGATAATGACGATGCTGATGATACTGATGATGATAATAACGACGATGATTATGATAATGATAATAATGACGACGATGATGATAATGACAATGATAATGATACTGAGGATGATGATGATAATGACGATGGTGATGATAATGACGATCATGATGGTGGTAATGATGACGATGATGATGATGGTGATGGTGTTGATTATGGCGATGTCAGTGAAAATGCTGAAAGCGTACCTATGCACATAAAGGTAAATAGGAAATATATAATGGGCAGAGAATTCAGATTCTACGAGTAAAAACAGAACACTACCCTTTTCTTCTTGTTATGGCGTTGTGAATTTTTTTTTGTATGTTTGTTTAAGGTTTATTTATATATTTATATATTGTTTCGTTTTTAGTTTCTTGTGCCTTTTATGTTAAGGTTAAATCGGGAGAGAGAGAGAGAGAGAGAGAGAGAGAGAGAGAGAGAGAGAGAGAGAGAGAGAGAGAGAGAGAGAGAGAGAGAGAGAGAGAGAGAGAGAGAGAGAAAGAGAGAGAGAGAGAGAATATTTGCACCACCTGGAGCTTGCACATTAATCATATACGGTATTCATCTTCACTGACTTTATTTCATTTATAATCCATGAAAGCTACTTGCCGACATTCCACACAACTGAGAAATCGACTTACATAGTTGCAAAAGCACAGCATGACCAAAACGACACATAAATAAAGGCACAGTTCACCATTTTGCGGGCTATAGTTCTGCTCTATTCTGTTCTATAGCACCATGGCTACCGTGTAATAGAAGTCTTTGTTTATACTACACCAAATAGAGCCTACGGGATTTAACTCACCAAGGGAGCACGGACTATTTTGTCGGTGTTTCTGTCATGCCTTTGTGCTTTGTCTTTGGTGTGTTGTTGTCAGTTCATAGTGTGTTTGTTTAGTGAATTACTACCCACTGGAGAGCAATGCTTTGTCGTCTGAATAAACAACTATATTTCAAACTGTTTTACTGTCTTAATTATTAAACACTATTCATTCTAGGAATGTAATAAACTAATCTCAGTCAAACTTGTTCCTTTTGATTCTATATTTTAACTTCACAACGAACTGTTTGTTGCTAGAGTATTTAAAATGTGGATTCGTTAATTTTATAAATCCAAATTTAAATTTAACGGCCACAGAGATGTTTCAAGTAATTTCCGTTGTTGAGTATTATCACCGTGGACAAAAGACATCAAGGATACATTCGTTGCAAAACAGAGGTAGATCGATATCAATTTTTTTTTTTTTTATATACTGTGCAAGAAAGTAAATTTCAGCAATTTCATGGTCATTTCCATCGCTGTGCACAAAATGGTGTGCCTTAGGGATCTTAAGCAGGTACGCGCTCTCGGTCTGTTTGTTTATCTGTCTCTTCTCTTCCGTCTTTCTCTTTGTTTATTGGTTTATCTCTCTCTCTCTCTCTCTCTCTCTCTCTCTCTCTCTCTCTCTCTCTCTCTCTCCCTCTCTCTCTCTTCTCTCTCTCTCTCTCTCTCTCTCTCTCTCTCTCTCTCTCTCTCTCTCTCTCTCTCTCTCTCTCTCTCTCTCTCTCTCTCTGTCTACCTGTCTGTCTGTCTGTCTCTGTCTGCCTCTCTTTCTCCCCCCTCCTCTCTCTCTTTCTCTCTCTCTCTCTCTCTCTCTCTTTCTATCTCTGTCTACCTGTCTGTCTGTCTCTGTCTGTCTGTCTGCCTCTCTTTCTCCCCCCTCCTCTCTCTCTTTCTCTCTCTCTCTCTCTATATATATATATATACATATATATATATATATATATATATATATATATATATATATATATATATATATATGTATATATATATATATATATATATATATATATATATATATATATATATATATGTATGTATGTGTGTGTGTGTGTGTGCATATGCATTTATTTGTCTGCAAGCATTTGCGCATGCCTGTATATTCGTGTGTAAAAAGGCATGTGTATCACCATGAACGTACATACATAGCACGCGTGTGTGCTTATGTGTTTTTTACGATGTTCTGTTTTTTTTTTTATATAGTTCCTTACTTTCAGGCAAGGTCGGTTTTGCCAGGATAAAATAATGGA